ATATTTATTTAATTTGCGAAATTTGTGGCATAGAATATTTTGAAGCAAAAAGCAATGAATGCTATATACAAAATTGGATGCATTGTACAGCAAAAGGCATTTCTGTCTTCTCATTAACTTATTCATTATAAAATTCGAACAATGATTTTAAAATACAATTAGGAGTCAGAGTAGACTAAGAGAACTATAGTGTACAGGTTATTCCTGATAATACATTGATCACGATGCATTCTTGCCAACAGAATTTCCAAAGTAAAATCGCTGTAAATATAAAAATCTTGCATAATTTGTCTTGTGGAATTATAAGTTTGGAAAGAGATGTTCCGTCCTCCATGCCAAAATATGTCAGACACAGGTTCAGGGTACAATCAGTGTATCACTATTCCACTAAAATTTGTAAATCCGACGTTTTCTAAAGCCTTGAGATATTTAACATAGCTAAATTTGGCTTTTTACCTGCAATAAACATTTATGAGCGCAAGTACTCTTTTGATAAATTGAGTGACCAGGACTAAAAAATACCGCAGCCACCGTTCTGATTGGATGTGTGATGTATTTAAATGTGTCATTTCGAGGATTAAAAATAGATTTTCCGATTTGATGCGAATAACACCTTCGTTTGGTGATGCTTTGGAAGAGACTTCCACTGATATCGATTGAAGAATGGATTTGTCGAATTGATGGTTTTGATTTCCAATATGATTTCGCCTTGTAGGAATTCTCGTGCTTGATAAATCAGACCAATTCATTGAATCCACCTTAGAAAAATTGAAAACGACAAATCTTTCAATCAATAAAATTCAAATAGTTATCTCAATAATTTTGTAAGAATCATGTTTCAAAATCCTTTTTCGAGTAGAGAAATAATGCATTGTTTATATGGTTATACTCTAAGTGAATGCATGTAACATACAGAATAACTTACTGTAAAAAGGAATTTTGAATGTAACCTGGAAAGTTTGAGAGCAAAGATTTGCATGCATATGTAAACATATATTCATCCTGCATAGTTCGCCACCCATTGATCTAGAGCAATGGTTGTCAAATTCGAGATATGCATTACTATGCCCATTCTTCAACAAAAAAACACTTTTTTTTTTGTCTTGAATGAATGTTTCACCTCACTAGAATTGAATTGTGTGACCACCGAAACTTTCAGGGGTTGATCTCAATGCATCATACAAGATATATTTTGTCTAAAGTTTTGCCTTGCGCATATTTCAAAAAAACTTGCCCAATATTGGAGAATGCCTTTTAGTGAAAAAAGATAGATTTATTCAAAAAGATTGAGAAAATTTTATAACTTTTAGGTTAAAGAAAAGAATGAATGGAGAATGAGAATAGAATGAGTTTATTGTGAATATTGTGATACACCAAGAATACGTTTTTGATGCATGCCAGATCGTCGTTGTCACAATATGGCACTGAGTATTTACAGTGAAGTAATGCGTTCGCGCTATAAGGAATAGAAGGATATTGTCGAGCTAAATGAATTTCTTTCGTAAAACGAGCAACTTAAACCAGGATATTTTTATATTTTGCAAAATTTTGTCGCAGATTTTGAGGCAAAACGCAATTGATCTATAACAAAAATTTGATGCATGTACAGCCCAAACAGGCCATTCTTGTCTGTCTCATTAACTGTTAATTTATTTAAAATTCGAATGTTTAAAATACAATTAGGTCATAGTTATGTATCCAAGAGTAACTATATTTAGCCAGTGTCCTTGATAGATACAGTTGTATAAACGATGCAATTTGGCTTGGCCAACAGAATTTCAAAGTAAATGCCTGTGAAAAAACTTGCATAATTTGTTTTGTGAGAATTTCCTATATTTGAGAAGAGGATGTTGTTTCGTTCCGCGTGATCGTGGAGTTGTCGCTCCTGAATGCCAAAATATGTCTAGACCGATGTGTGGTGTGTCAGGTGTATCAAATCTAGTTATCGATATCATAATTAAATTGTAATACCACGTTTAGCTTGAGATACTATACGATAGCTATTATTTTGGTCTGTTTGTACTTGAAAAACTTTATGAGACTGAAGTACTCTCTTTGATTAAGATTGGATGTTGATCTCTTAGACTAAAAAATACGCTATTCATCGTTCTGATGGTGTGATTAGTATTTAAATGTTTCAATGTTGATCTGGTATTATATATTAATGATTTTCGGAAGTTTGATGCGAATATATCTCACCTCGTTCGTTTTCGTATGGTTGCTTTGGGAAGGCACTTATGCACTTATATGCATTGGACGATTATGTGATTTGTTCGATATGGTTATTTTGATTTTTCCAGATTTATTGATTTCGTCTCTGTTAGGTAATTTTTCTGTTTGATAAATCATGACAATTCTGATTTGATATCACTTAGTATTTAATTATTCTGAAAACGAATTTTTCGAATCAGTTGTATAAAGTTCAAACAATTTTTTTTTATTCAAAATTTTGGTAAATCATTTTTCTATATATCCTTTCGTTCTCGTAGTGTGAGAAGATTAATCTATTTTTATATGGCATTTATTAGTCTTTCTACGTGATATGTTCCATGTAATCATATAGTGATATATCTATGAAAAAGATTTGATTGTATTACCTTGGTAATAGTTGAAGGCATATGATCTGTCGCCTGCATAGTATTCTCATAGTATTATCATTTTCCCTGCATGTTTCGCCATCTTGCTCTATTTGTTTGTGCTAGCTAATGTTCCTAAGTTGAAGTAATCGCATTCATGCCGCATTTCTTTCAATAAAAATAAACTTTTTTTTTGGTCTTCTGATCGAATTTGTTCACTCCATCTAGTAATGAGATTGTTGCTCTAAAAGACCTTTTCAGGCGCTTGATTCAATTGCTATTCATACTAAGTATAA